TTCAAATGAACGGCACCGTCTCTTCTTCACACTTCACTCAATGAAATAATAATTAACACTTATTGTCAGTACCTACTTTTATAATCACTACTTTTATAAGCGTTACTTATGTGAAGTTTTTTAAATATTTTGTTGAACTATATCATTTTTTAATAAATTTATCTGTTCACAAACATTTGTACTTGACATTTTAAATTTGTCTTTTGCTTTATTAATCTATTTTAAATAAATTGTCATGTATGTTATTTACCATAATAATCTTCCTACAACTGTATGGATAGTAAGTTAGTTCATAATTTAAATGAAATTAAAAAACATATACCCATATATTAATATAAAATAGATCTTGTTAAGTTATCAACAACTGAACAACAGCAGTAAAAGTGTGCAAAATATCTAGTGAAAAAATAATGTAGGCATACAGTCAATTTTTAGGTTTTTTCTCTTCGATGAAAAAGGAGTGTCTCTTATTTTAGGGCTTTTAACGACAGCGCTACATCTATTAGTAAGTATATCAAGTTTTATTTTTGATTTCGACAAGAAATTTATAAGGAATATTTAACTGGTATACTGAAGTTAGGTATACATAATTAATTAATAATTTAAATTTAAGAGAGTTACTGAAAAATACACAATAGAACACAAGGTTAGCTAACACAAATATTAAAAGTTTTATAGATTTTATTTTGTAAAAATCAAACTTGTACGACAGAACTTGTAGTCTATATAAATTATATACTCACTTTTTTAGAATTTTTTTTTTTTAATACTCCAACGCAAGACAATTATGAACCGGTATTAATTAATTAACCTAACCTAACCTAACCTAAGCTAACCTCCCCACCATCCAAGTTTGTATCTGTTTTTTGGTAAGTTATCGAATTTGTCGTATTTTGAAACGAATTCCATTTTTTAAAAGTTAATTCAATACATAATATAATATCATTTAATTTTAAAGTGTTGATCACGCTAAAGAGAATACTAAAAATGATGTTAGAGCTTGTATAGATCTTAAAATATATCGTTCCGTTATTTAACATATATCTGCATCAACAAGTCTTTGGAATTTTATAGGCATTTGTATAATTTTGCTCAGTTTATTTACCGGTTAATTTGTATAAGTTCCAAGGTATTATTTTTATTTAACTAATCGTTTCTTTGAGTAAAAACCATTTTGGTTTATTTTAGACCAAAAAACGTGTAATCCCCTTAGTATAAAAAAAAATTAGTTAAAAATATAAAAGGTATACAGTGCAATTTATTCAGAAAATCTAGCAAGGACAATACAAGAACTAACACAATAAACAGATTGCGAAAATTCTAAATTTTATTTTCTATCATACAACATAAACAAAAAATTATATTTTAAAAAATACAAATAATATAAAAGTAAAACATATAATACAATAGATACTTTATATCTGACAATTTTGGTAAGCGCAAATATAAAGTTAAAATGACACTCTTAGATTAATTTTACTCACATCGCCTGCTGAATAGTAAACACCAGTAGTACGAATAAACACTATTGGCCTAGGTTTAAATTGTAACACATGCCAAGATCGTGTTGACCCGTTGGATTTGTCTACGATCATATCCCAAGTCCGATTATTTACAGAATCTTCAATAGTATAACGGTAGACTTGGTCATCACCGCCCCAAAGCAGCATTCTGTAAATCAAGGTAATAGTCAATAAATTAAGGAAATTTATTACACAGCAATTTTTATTTTTCCACAAACAACAAAAACTAAATTGTTTAATATCGTAAATATCCTATGTATACATACGTTATGTGTCCAGAAAAATACAGCGTCCAGTTAAGGGCTAAATACTCATTATGTGTACTGATTCTAATATAGTTTATGGCTGATGGAATGATGAAAAAGATAGTCACATTGGGTTCTGAAAAATGAAATATTTGAAACCGACATAATATGCGAATTACAATGAACTAATGCGATATGTAAAGCAGGCCACTTAGTTTAAATTTAATCTTATCTGGTAGCCACGTGTTTCTAAATTGTGTGGCATCTAAAATTGTATCTGAACTACTAACCAGTTGTGATTCTCTAACCACAGATAGCACAGATAACACTCATTATTAACAATAAAAAAGACAGAAGATCTTCAAATTGCAATACGGCCAAAGCGTTGTTTTCGATTAAGTTTAGTGATTCGACTTCGAACTTCTTATATTGATAAAGTCGTGCCCCAGCCATCAAGGAACAAGCATTGTGTACATTAAAAACCATACCAATCCGAAATACTAAATGATTCCCAAATAACTTTAACCTAAAGAAAAAAATAACATATTTGATTAATCATTTTTCTTATAAACATTATTATCCAGTTAAAGAACAACTGATCGACCAAATGATCATACAGCCTTAAAAAAAGTATTAGTGCAGTTTGAATAGCGTACAGCGATTATACGTTACCTTTAGAATCCTGAAGTTCATCTGACCGGTATAAATACACACAAGAAGTATTTTAAAGAAGGTTATTGATGCTTCTTTAATGTTCACCTCAGGCTTATCGGATTCATTAATATTTCCATACAACAAGACACTTAAAATTATAAACAGTATTAATGAAACCGTCAAATTATCTATAAAGCCTAGTCCAATGGAGTCCATCTTTACAGACTACACAAATGAGTTGTTTTCGGTCAAAACTTACTATTATTTGGCTTGATAAGTTAGATACATAAGTTTGAATACCTACTTTACCTCAGTTTTTACAAAAACAAATTAACATTGTAAAAAAATGTCTTAAGAGGTCCTAACCATATAAAATGTTTCTATTAATAGCTTTTATATCTTGTTATAGTAATTTCTTTAAAATATCAATTTAAAACTACAATTTTTGTCGGTATAAATTAATTGTTTGTGTCTGTGACAAACAATAATAACTACTAATAACTAATAAGTTCCTATTTATTAATAGCAAATTACCAACAATTAACACTAAGGTAATATTAAGAGTTAAATACTTAAAATAATTACATTATTAATTGAGGCATTCCACGTCGAACCGGATTTTCGGCCACATCCCGTAGAATTTTCATGACCATTGGACTTTCTGGATCGTTGTGACCTAAAAAAATACTTCTAAATATTTCGTAACTAAATGGAATCTTGTTTTATATATTTGGACACCTCAAACAAATGGTTTCATCGTCTCAAAAATGGTATAATTATCAAGTAACCTAACCTTACCCCAGAAAAGGGTATAATTTTTATTGTTTTAATTCATAATTAAATGCTTTTAGTCGTATTATTATTGCATATAAATTACAGAAATTAATAATTTTATATATTTACCTATTTTATTTAATTTTCTTGTTATTATATTTTCAGGTTTATGCATTTTACCAATTCCAAACGAGAATTTTTGCAAAGTTTTATATTAATAATCTCATTATTGAAGCCAGTTTAATTAGACTGTGCTTTATAGAACATAATATAATATGTTGTTTGTCATAATATTGTATAGTATTTTTAGGGTCTTATTTTATGGAGGTCTTAAAGAATCAATATAAAACCAATAGCATCAAAAACAACAAAAAATGTTGTAATTCACCTATGTGATACTAATAACATAACGTTTTATATTCATATTATAAACCTATCAATATTATTTTAATAATAAAAAAAATGTAATTGTGTTTAATAAGAATTAATAAAACTATAGGTATGTTCATGTACTGCTCCGTGGAATTTTTCAGGCCCACTTGGCTTTATGCTGTGATCTCTAACTTATGTGAATATACATTTTTTGTTCAATCTTTGATATTTGTAACGATTGGTTACTATTTTTCTAGTTGCTACGTGGGTAATCATCATGTTTATATAACAATTTTTTTGTTATACACAGAATTAATGTTGTTTCTACTGCGAAAATGATTTTTAAATAATCTGAAGACATTTTTTCATATATGCAAATGTTATAACATTGTGTTCGGTATTAAATGACGAGTAATTTTTCATTTTTAATTATTATAATTTAGCCAAGATTGAAACAAGACTAGAAAAAGTGAAGAAAACAGTATACCACACACTGGTAGAATTCATAAATTATAGTCAAAATGTTAAAAGTCGGCTGTTTCAGTTCAAAATCAAAGGTAACAACTTAACATTATATCTGACCAATCCAACGGGTAAAATGTTTTAAATATTTTCTTTATCGCTTTTTAGGACGTCTGACGTGTACCTACTAAACATAAAAAATTAAAAAAACGTTGAACGCCCTGTATATTATTTATTACTATATTGTAATTATCGAATTGATTTTTAAACCCGATTTGGCGCTATGCATTATGTTTCCAGATAAATTTATGATTTTTCTTCTAAGACACATGCCAAAAGATGGACATCGTTACTCTAAATA